TTGCTAGGTACTGGCTTACAAATGTGGCCCGGCGAGGAGCGATAAGATTTATGGTTCGCCCTTGAGAGCGTTCTTCCTGAAGAGATCCAATCGCCTAGACAGCCGGTAGAATTAATGCCGTTGTCGTGTACACGGACGCTGGTTTACACTGTTGCAGAGCGTACAGAGACCACGGTACACCACAATCTTCCTCCTCGGAAGCGAAAGAAAATAAGAAAGAAGAAAGCCGAATTACCATTTTACATTATCCGTATTGCCGGTAACTCTGCTTATTTTGTTAACTAGTAGGAGTAAATGCATTTCACGTTTGAAAGATATAAATCTGTTTCTTCTTCGAGGAACCGCGGATTCTTCTCCTTCTTGCACGCAGCGGAAAAGATTCTCGTAGTATTTTTATCGTTGCATCGGTTTAAATAACGCATTTAGATTTCTAAAGGAAACGAGAAAAGACGTTGTTTTCATAAAACAAATATCCAAGTTACAAACACTTTTTAAAGTAGCATTGGTGGTCGATCGAGGTAAAATTTAACCGATATCGTGGAGAAAGAAGACAAATTCGAAATGCAAAATGTCAGCTTTGGTGCTAATTCGCGCGTCGGGCAGTTGATCCTCGTGACAGATTTTCCAGCTATTACCAATAGCCTGTTAGTCAGCAAGTTGGGTAATTAGAACTAACCGAAGTCTAATTCGGCTCTGATCCAATCTAATCGGATCTAATCGGAATATCTGTCGTGTTAGCGAGCAGGAGCGCGAACAAAACGTAAAACGATTACAACCACCGAGCTACGTTTGATTGCTCGTATGTATCCTTGAACCGTAACTGGTAATTGCATCAAGCGATAAAACGCGTCAGTCGCTGAATGTCCAATATCGTGGAAAATCTGTTACGCGTGTATATACGAAGAGACTGGTAGCTTTCGAACGTGCACGGTTTGTCGAAATAAAAATTTCGCAGTTTCAGTTTGCTATCTACCTCTTCCCATAGCACCCACCAAACTTTATCTGAATCGGTTTGTTAATCGTAAGTTTTGAGAATGTAATTTAAAAAATAGAACCTCGGCAGAAAATTGTTTCACTTGCCAAGTATCGCATTGGATATTTTATCTATTTTCTCGCGTTACGTGCGTTCTTCGCACGTTCGCATGAAAATCCGTAATCTAGTTACCAAATGGTATTAATCGAGTATCTGGTTAAAGCTGTCGAGAATAATCGTAGCCAGAGATAACGTTCAACGGTAAGTGGAAAATGGTGGCGAATAAAGTAGGAAGAGAGAGTATCGACATGGTGGACGGCTAAGAGATTTTCCCCGTGACTCGCCAGGCTGATTCGAGAGACCTTTCTCGTCCAAGGTCGTAGATCGCAGCGGTCACAGCTATAGGTATTCTTTTCGTCTCTTCTCCCTCTCTCCTTTTCGAGTGACAGCGGCTGTACGAGGAACATGGCGGGGAGTAGGGAGTCAATACACTTGTGGGGTCTATGAGTTGGCAAGCACTGGGAGGGGAAACGCGGCGTGGCACGGCTCGGCTCGGCTCAGCTCGGCGTGACCCCTGAACGACGTTCATCGATCGGGGTGCACGCACTCTACCTCCGGCACCGCGCTCTTCCATGCTGCCTCTTCCCTCGTCTCCTTCCTTTTCCCTTCTCTTTCAAGTTCCCCTTCCCATTTACCTTCCCCTTATCCTTCCCCTTATCCTTCCCCTTATCCTTCCCCTTATTCTTCCCCTTATTCTTCCCCTTTCCTAGCCTCTCTGCTTCATTTTCGATTTACAATTTCCCATTGTTACTTCCTACTAGAAATCCTCGCTCTAGTAACGCTGGAACTACCAAACCAGTCTAAATGATTAGCGCCAAAGAAGGATCTTAAAAAATGGCCATCTTTGGACTTGTTTGCGAACGAGAAATTCTTGCAGGACATTACAAGGAGGATGGCAAGAATCGCGAGATCTCGACTGTGCGTGCATTCGATGCTTTGGGTCGACGCTGAAACACCCCAAAAGGACCTTAACTTTCGAGAAAACGATACAAATATTAAGCATCGAAAACATCTTTCAAGGAAAACGTATTACTATCATTAACATTTATCCAAGATGCGAAGATGCGAAGAAAAGATGGGTATTCGTCGGATATCGTCGTCGGCTATCGTTCTCGCGCAGGAGCAGTTCGCTGGTACTTCGGATTTTGTCGATTGCAAACTTCGCCGGATTTGTCGACAGAATTTTTAAACAACGCACAACGTGGTCTTATCCGAGGTGACATTAGCTTCGCTATGGAGACAAAGTATTCCTTTATCGTCATTCGACATCGTCGACGTACAATTCGAAACGTTCGATACCCGCGCTTTGCTGTGTTTGCTCATTATACGCGGTAAATTATGCGCGAGCGAACCAGTTGTTTAAACTTAATTATAATTACATATACAGGTTTAATGAATTGAAGTAGAACGTTCCTCTTTTTAAATATTACTCGTCCCCGAGACACTCTCGTGACATAATCCATTGAAATAAATTTGCTGGATTATTCGCGATTAAAAGCGAAATAACCATGTTCCATTGTTCTCGAAATACGCCTCTTTTGATATTCGCTATGTTAAATGTAGCCTCTAGCGACCTCGAGTCCGCAAGTGCTTCCCTTAGGAGCATTCACCTTTTATCTTGGGACTCGATCAAAATTCCTGCACGAAGGTACCGCGTACCAGAGAGAAGAGTAGCTAGCCCGACTTCAGAAGCGTTTCCTGGAGCGGCCAGACGCTCTTTGTTCCATCCATTCGGTTATTCGCGCATTTTCCTTTCCACCTTCCTTCCTTGCTTTTGCCTCTTTATCCATCTCGCTTTTCTCCACGCTCTCGTCGCCGTCATTCTCTTCTCGTCTATCCGCTCTATGTACAGAGCGTAGAAAAATGCTTTACGCTGGTCGTAGTAGGTGGATCTTACATCTTCAGCTCGATGGATCGATCCGCTGAAAAGCTTGCCGCGAAATTGAAGTTCAAGGTTAAGGCCAATTTTGCCGAAAGATTTTATAATAAACTTTTTGCGTTCTTTTCGATCGAATCGTATTCTTCTGTCGTTGGAAGACTTCTTAGACGGTAGTAGACGCGTTAATTCCTTCCTTTGTCGAGTATACTTATCCCTATCTGCTTCGTAAATATACTAACCTCTTATCACGCATTACGATAAAATACGATACAAAAGTACGTAAATATTGTACAACATTTACCATACCGTACAATGCGAGTACTCCACAATGAACGACGATGTAATCATGCAGTGCTAAAGTTTTATAATTTTGCGAGAAATACGAAGGAATTTCGTGCTGAAAATTAAAAAGCCGGGTCAACACACGAAGAATTCGAAGCTCGACGAGATAACGAGATCTCCGACGACCCGAAGACGTAGAAATCCACGAAACGTCTTTTTCCGTTAAATATCCAAGTTTTGTTACAAGAAGTTTCTCCTACGATTTTTAAGGAGAACGCAGGCGTTCGATCCGTGGAAAAGCGAATGCGTGGAACTCAGTCGTGCCAACTAGAAGAGACGCGACAACCTTCGCATTCGTGACCTTGGACTCGCAGGCTACTGCCTTTTTCCTCCTTTTGCTCTCTCGTCTGTCCATCTACCTACCAGCAATCGAGTAAAACAGGACCATCCAGTCGACCGATTTAATTAGAGAGGCGACATTTTTCCGTGATGAATCGTTGGCGAGTGATCTGCAAAGAGTAGAGAGACAAGTTCGCGTCGGAGTTGACTCGCGAAGACGATTCAACGATTACGCAGAAACAACTTCCGGCATGTGCCATTGTGGGCGAGATGCCGATAAATGACAAACGGGTCACGTCGGTGATCGCTATGTTTTTACGTTCGCATTGCGACTGTAGGCCGTTGCGACTGTCGGACAATCGCTGCTTCAGCATCGTTACGGTAAACGGTTTCGTGCGCAAATTGATCTCGGACGACAAACACCAAGATTCCGTTACCTGGTGACTCGAGTTTTTGCACGACCATATACGATTTTTTAAATGTTCCCACCGGAAATCATTAAATACCGTGTAAATACTAGGAACTAACGCGTAGTTTGATAATCGTGAAAAAACATTTTTGGCAGTTCGACGCAGATTTTCGTGCCTTTATCGTCGTTGCGATATCTTTACTTAACGCGTTCCATGCAGATAAGATTATGATCATTATCATAATAAATTGCACTCGTCCCTAAGATTCTCGATATTCGTAGCATGATATAAGTATTTCAACCGGTTAAACGATCGGTCGCGATGGATGAAGATAGGCTATGTATGTTTATATTTCTCAGAAGAAACGGAATGGAAAGAGGAATAGATATTGAAAAATTAATTTCTCGTATATCGTAGGAAAAGTCGGCAAGTTTAAAAACGTTAATTCTTATGGCAATAGTAGTGTTTTAGCGTCGAGTAAGATCGACTCTTCAGAATACATATAGATGTGATCAACGCGAACAAATTTATTCGCGTACTTAGTTTAGCGTACAATGCGCGTTTAACGGATCACGGATTCAACGACGTAAATATTAAAGTTACATAAAAGACGAAGACAAAAGTACAGAGTATGTTTTACCTAACTCTGCCCCCTTTAATTGTTCTCTCGTTTGTCACGATATGAAAATATGTTTCGAGAGAAAGTCAACGTGGTTGGACGCGTTTTAATTTCACCTCTTTAACGGCGAGGAGAAAAACACAGGTCATTCCGTTAAAAAAAAAAAGACTATTAGTAAAGTGTCGGAAGATACGATCTCGATGCCGTAGCCTAATTTTCCCGCTAAAATGCAACTCGCAGTCGGAACGATCGTTTGCGCCATGACAAATAAGAGAGCAATTAAAAGCGGTAATGGCGATCTGTACGCAGAACCGAAGGAAAAAGTGGAGATTGTGATCTAGTTGTTTGTAAGAAAACGAAAGTAACGACGATAGGTTAAGGAAAGTAAGGCGTAGCCGAGAAAGATTTCTAAAATAAATCATCGATTTCTGTTAACAGGGATGCCGGTTGACTGAAGATGGCCTCGCCGACACTCTCGCTGGAATCGCGCGCGAATTCCATCGGATCCCTAGCCTCGCTGTCCCCGCTTACAGTGAGCGGCAGTTCCCCGCCTGCGAGCGACTCTGCGATCTGTGACGTCGACAGCTGCGACCTTTGCCTCGACTCGCAGAAACCTGGAGAGGCACCCTGTCCGCGGTGCCGATTAGGAGGCGCCGGTGGAGTTCGTTGTACCGGTTGCAAGTCCACGGAATCCGACGCTGTAGCTCGTTGCTTCGACTGTGCGAATTTTCTCTGCCCAAATTGCGTGATGGCGCACCAATTTATGCATTGCTTCGAGGGCCATCGCGTGCTCAATCTAGGCGACTCGAAGCTCGAAACGGTGACCACCAGCTCCGCTACCACCGAACTCCCGAAGAACAATCTGGTGATCAATCTTCACGCTAGCGGAAACAGCGAGAAAGTACCTTACTGTCCCCGGCACAAGCAGGAGCAAAAATACTTCTGCCGTACTTGCACAGCGCTAGTCTGCAAAGAGTGCGCCATCGCCGATCATCCTGGCCCGTTGCATGACTGCGCGCACATCTCCGAGGTAGGGTCGCAGCAGCTGGAGGCGATGGCACGAGTGGTTCAGGAGTGCAAAGCGAAAGCCGCGGACGTGAGAGCTGCCGTGAAGGCAGCCGATCACGGCGCAGCGCGATTACAAGTGCAGTATCACAAGGCGCAGAACGAGATCAACGACACTTTCCAGTTCTATCGATCGATGCTGGAGGAACGTAAGCAAGAACTGCTGAAGGAGCTGGAATCGGTCTTCTCCACCAAACAAATATCTCTCGGCGTTGTGACGCAGAAAGCCAACGACATGGCCGACAAGATGCTGCAGACCTGCGAGTTCGTCGAACGATTGACCAAGTACGCCACCGTTACCGAAGTGCTGATGGTGAAGAAGCTTCTCGACTCGAAGCTACAGTTGCTGCTCAGTTACACGCCGGACGTCGCCGGTCAGACTGCCGACCTCGAGTTCGTCAGCAACTACCAGGCCATTCAGGTAGGCGTGCGAAACACGTTCGGCTACGTTCGTAGCAACAACGAGAGCAACGCCGGCCCGATCGGCAAACAGCCACCCATCGCTCGACCAACAGCGATGTCGAACAACGGGAACGGCGGAAGCAACGCCAACAGTGGATCTAGTAGCATCGGTACTTTGGGTGGTTTGCTCCTGGATCGATCTTACAGCAACGGCCTGATATCATCCGGCTCTACCTGCGCTTCGTCCACGTCGCCATCGTCCTTCGAGTCCAATAGCACGGTGATCACGAAGCGTTTCAGCTCGGCCAACAGCCTGGGCCC